ATATATGAGTGTGTGTGTATGTGTCTGTCTGTCTGTCTGTCTGTCTGTCTGTCTCTCTCTCTCTCTCTCTCTCTCTCTCTCTCTCTCTCTATGAATATATATGAACATATCTTAAAGCATGCATTCCAATTAAATGGTTAACATTTTAGCCTTACAAAATAGTTTCCGAAACACATTTTTTTGTCAATCTGACAAAAATTAATTTTTTTGAGTTTAAGAATTAATAGCTTCTTCCAAAATGGCACTTTATATTCTTATACACAGTTGTAATTCATAAATTTATCATTTATTTAAAAGGGTACAATTTGCTACTGATTAATTAGCAACTTTAATTATGCATAAATTCAACTAGGATCATACAACAGTACCAAATATCAACGAAAATACTACTATAAATACCGTAAATATTCCACCATAACAACGTGAGTTTGACATCCCTGCCTTAGAGGTATGGCCATTCACAAAACAGGCAACTTGCTGTTCTGGGTAACAACACTACAGACTTCTAGTATCACCTAATAAGAATACTATTCATGGATATATTGTAGTTTTTATGTTTCCTGTTCAATAGTTTCAGTTCCTTTTCTTGGCGAATCCCTCATACCTGACAAATTGCATTTTTAATGTGTCTTTTTGGGAACATATGCAGATGAAATTATTTGCTTCACACGTGAATTTTCCAGGGGAGTCTGAAGCATCACAAATGCATGTTGGAGATGAGTGGTCACTCCTTCCCAGCTTATATGCAGCATCTATAGTTTACATCCAAACCACCACCAGATCAATACGGTAGTCTGAAGTGAGAACTGATTTCAAATTTCAGAGCAATACACTCCATCGTCTGTGCAAACTACAGGAATTAGAGTGGAAGAACAAGCAAGCCTATGCTATGTTCTCAGTCTTCCCAAGTAGGAACTAGGAACAACTTGATTATTTCCAAATATTTTATTGTTGAGATCACTTACTTTAACAGCCATTCCACAATTTTACTCTTCGTGCGGAGATGAGGCAAGGTGTATTTCTCTTCTCCATCCTGAAAGAACTTGACGGTTGGAAATCCTGATATGTGAAATTTTTCTGCCACAGCTTTGTTGACAGTTGCATCTACTGCTGCCAAAACACCTGGTTTCTGCAATATAAAGCAATGCCTGTAACGGTATATCCTAAGTTGTAAACAATGCACAAAAAATGGAGACTGAATTTACTGAGTAGTTATCTACTAGTTATCTACAATTGAGGGACCTAGTGGCTCAGTGGCTAAGATGCTGAGCTTGTTGATCAGAAAGGTCGGCAGTTCAGTGGTTTGAATTGCTAGTGCCACGTAATGGAGTGAGCTCCTGTTTCTTGACCCAGCTTCTGCCAACCTAACAGTTCGAAAGCATGTAAAAATGCAAGTAGAAAAATAGGGACCATCTTTGGTAGGAAGGTAACAGCGTTCTCTGCGCCTTTGACTTTTAGTCATGGCAGCCACATGACTACAGTGACGTCTTTGGACAGCGCTGGCTCCTCAGCTTTGAAACAGAGATGAGCACTGCCCTCTAGAGTCAGGAATGACTAGCACATATGTGTGAGGGGAACCTTTACTTTTACCTTTACTATTTACAATTTACAATAACTTTAGAAAGGCAATACAAATGCTTTGGAAACTTTTAACTCTGAAGAGTTTTACAAGTTTTGTTATGACAAACATGTTATCCATTCAAGGATAATCCTTTTGTAAAATGTCCAATCAATTAACCAAACATTTGTTTAATTACAGTATTTAATTTAATGCTGTAAAGGGAAGGGGGAAAAAGAGCACCAAGAAATAAACATTAAACTGGCGAATAGCTTCACAGTTAATAGTAGTGATCAAGCCTGAAGAACTTGTGTAATGATAGGCCCTTGTGCTTTAGTTAAAGTGATTTTACAAACACGCTCTTACGTAAATGCCATTGGAAGATATCTTTCCTTTTCTTTCTTTTCCTTTTCCAGAATTGCAAAATTTACAATGCACCAAAATCAATTGCTCAAGTCAAGAGAAGCTTTACAAAATAATAAAATAATCCAGTTTAATAATAAAAATGTAGCTAAAATACAATAAACAGCACTCAATAGGAAACAATATATCAGTAAGAAACAATGCATCATGTAAAATGTGGAATAAGCTTCATACATGCTTGGATAGGCAAATGCACAAGGGTGCTGTCTCAAATATATTGAAATCCCAAAATCTATCCACTTTCTGTCTCAAGCTCTTGAACCATTGGAGAAAGAGAGGTTTAAGATAACAATGAAAAGGTATTAAGTGCCTAAGTGAAGCTCTGTTCCTACTTATGGCATGATGAATCTGCATAATTGATCTTCTAGGTACACATACATTCAAATGAAAACCTATGACAATTGCTTAAAGTGAGAAGATTCTCATTAGCTTATCTGTAAATGGCAAAAATGCAAGCCAGTGTTTTCTTAATTTTTTTACATTAAACATTAAATTTGTAATTGATAGAGAAAACAAAGCAGTTTGATGCAGAATTTGAGCTTTATCATATTATGCACAATACAAGGTTCAATGGTGGAATATAACATGTTTTTTCTATTTGTGTTTAAATACACAATGTTCTTCCTAATAATTTGGCATCACTCATGCATTACCAATGAGATTATACTTTGCAAACCCTTGGGAAGATGAAATAATTGCAAAGAGAACATTTTTATTATTTCAGTTACTTATTATGGATCATTTGAAAATGGAAAGAAAAGGAAATTAGCTTACATCACTGTCTGCATGGAGCATCTCTGCGGCTTTCTCATATTCTGGCTTCATTTTCTTACAATGTCCACACCCTGACAAAGAAAAGTTTAGAAGGTTGGGATGGGGTTTAAAAGCAAAAAGTATTGGCCTGCTACATTTCACCAACATCAGAGTTTTCAAAGAAAGCTGCTTGCTCATCTATGGGGTTAAAAAATTTCATCGTATTTTAAGAAATGGGCCAGTTCCTGTGTAAACATACTATATCATGGATTTGTTTTATTTGTCCTCGATATTGGAACATTTAGAATAATATGATGCCACATAGAAGTTTTTCTATTTAACTGGAAGGCATGTGCTTTGCTTAAAAATGAAATTTACCATGTCCCTCTGAGAATGGATATCTGACTAGTAGCACCATAATTCTCCAATTTGCAAGTATCTGAAAATTGTATTTCAAATAAAGGCAGATAATAAAATACTGTAATGTTATTTATTTCTATTATTGGTTGAAAATTGGTAATGAACTTTTTCATTCTGTCTATATGGCATTCTCTTCATAATAGTTCATATCATTTGAAGATAGGAAAGTACAAGTTAAAACAAAAAGAATACTATTCTTAGGACAAATCATGGCTGTCATGAAATTTAGAATAGGAGTTCCTAGTTGAAGCTATTAAACTATACCTTAAACTAGGTTTGAGAGTTAGAACTCAAGGACAGATGCTAAAGCAGGCATCCTAAGATACATCTTTACATTAGAGAGTTTATTCCTTTGACATTCACTTGGATGCACATGAAATGGCTACCTTTCAGCCCAGGGAACTGTATATCAGTGTTGTGATTCAGTGAAAAGTAGGTGGTTGTTTGTACTCTCTTTCTTTTTTACACACTCTTTCTTAGCTCCCATTAACTTCTTTGTCCTATCAGGATAAATTCACTACACAAGGATTTCCTCTCACTTCATAAATAAATATTCCACAGCATTTTTTATCCTAATAAATTCTACAGAAAATTTTTACACACATATATTCACCCAGCAAATGTATTTCGAAAGCCTTACAAATATGTGAAAAGAGAGTAGAAAGGGAACTGTATTAGCCTGTCATTCTTCTCAGTTCACTTCAGTAACATCAAAAGACAAGTTGGTCTGTCTGCCTGTTTTTCAATCAACTGCATAGAGAAAGTCCATGTTTTGCCTTATCACATCCTTCTTCTTTTAAAGATTGTTTGTTTGTCTAAAACATTTATATGACCACCCATCTTGAACCAAATTCTGGGTGGTTTACAACCCCAAAATAAAAGCAATATATGTGAACACTAAAATAAAACATTTTTTTAAAAAAAGACTTGCACTGCAGCTAAATTTTCCCATGCAGCCCACAATTCTGTTTACCTCAGTATCAAATATATCAAAGTCTTTGAAATACTCTCTTTATTACTTCATAGTATTGCTGACCTCACTACACATTTAATTTCCTATATCCAACCATATGTATATTTGAATTTGTGGGACTCTGACTTGACCCCATTTTAGGTTGCTTTGCATAGCATAGTAAACAATATCTGTTTCTACATAATTGTGCATTGGTCTCTGGTTTAGGCAAATTAGGGGAAATTTATGAGGAAGATTTCTCCTACAAATGCACATTCTGTATTTTTTAAAGAAATTGTTTTAATATAACATTTGGTTTGAAAAAGACATTTGAAATGGGTAATTATTTTGTAGATTTGTAGTTGATGATTCTTGTCTGGAGACTAATAGTTGCCAGAAAACATTTGTCCTATGTTACTTTGTGAAATGAGGTAATGCCCCAAGCAGTTGATTTGAGAAAGTATTCCTGAATACTTTCTCTAAGAGGCTGATCCAGCCTTATGGAACAGCTTGCCTCCCAATGTCAAATTGGCCTCCTCTTTGCTTCCAAAAGGCAGTAAACATACTGATTTATGCAAGGGAGTGCTAAACTGGGGCTGCTAACTTTCTAGTTTATACCTTTGTAAATGTTCTGTTTTATTGTAGAATTGTTCTTACTGATAGTTGATCTTGGAATTTATGTAACTATGAGCCATCCAGAGCCCTTGATTGGGAAAATATACAAATTTCAGTAAATAAATAAATTGTGCTGAACCCATCAGCTCCTTGAAATACACCTCAGATGAGGGCAGTGAAGCATGTCAGAAGATGATTAGAAAACAGGTGGAGAAAAGCTGCTCTTGAATCTGATTATATCTTAGTAATGATTTCTACAGAATATCAAGCTTATTCTATAGCAGTTAAGGAAGTGAAGAAATATTTTTACCCTCCACCACTTCAGCCCCTTAGCTCCTTCTATCAGTTTTCCAAAGCAATAGACTTTTATTAAATAACCAAAAAAGAAATTTAAAACAGTCAAATGTAGAACAATGTTAAACCCTCCATATATCCTATTTTCTTTCTCCACACAATTGGACAATTTCATTTTTCCCCCAGAATAATTTTTAAATATCTCTGTTTAATAACATATTTAAAAATATTTATATGTAAATATATTCAGTACTATAATATATTTTACCTGTAAACAGGTAAAATTGCACTATATTTGACAATGTTTCTTCTGATAAAGCAGCAAAGATAATAGGATATGATTCTTTTAAACTACAATGTTTTGGTTCTCTAAATATTACCTCTCCATTAGCTATCTTGATCAATCATTATATGGATGAATTGTCCTTATTAGTGTCTCTTGCTCTATTTGTTTGTTTGTTTGTTTGTTTGTTTGTTTGATTGATTCCCTTTATTCTCCTTTTACCAGAGTTACCCATGCTGTTTACATAGCTAAAGCTGGACATGAGCTGGGTCTCCCCAGTCACAATTCAACACCTTATCCACCAGGGGTGGGTTCTGGCAGTCACTACTGCCAGTTTGCTCGTGGTCACGTAGTGCAATAAAAATTGCTCTGCGCATGCGCAGAAGCAAAAAACAAGATTGGAGAACCAGTTCAGGGGTTGAACCGGTTCGAACTGGAAGGAACCCAACACTGCTATCCAACTGCTCTCTTCAATTGATAGAAAAGTGCAGCTATCTTTGACAGCACACATTTTATAAAATACTCTGAAATTTAATTTAATCACATAGCCAAAGGAAAAACACAACAAAAATTAGTATTTTTACATTGCAACTGATTTCCATGCTACCTGTAACAGGTCTGCACTTCATTAGACTGCACTTGTACTTCTGAAGTTTGTTAGTGGGGGAGTAAACAAGCATATTTCATTAAAGTTAGGGAAGTGTTATATCAGTATTTTCAGCTCCATTTTTCTCTTTCATCCCTTGTAACTGGAGTTATATCTCAGCATCTATCAAGATTTGAGAGAACTTGTTTCATGAAGCCAATCTTTCAAGGAAGTCATTTTTCAAATCTTTACTCTTTCCAGACACTTTGTGGATTAAAAAGAAAAAAAACCTCATCTGTTTTTACTTGTAATTATTGTTAGGGCTTTTGAAAATGAGAATATGTTCACGTGTGTCACCATCTTTCTTGGAACCATAAGCAGGCCATCAGACAACAGAATGAAATAAGCATCTGTTTCATAATTTTAGGAAACACATGTAGCCAGCCATTACTCTAGTGTTTGTATGTCAGAGCAGACAAAAGAACAAAGCAAAGCAGAACAGATTGCACCATCAAGTACTCACCAGATTTATTTATTCATTTATTTATTACATTTGCAAACTGCCTGCTTCTGTTTCAATTCTGGATGCTATACAATATGAAACAACAATAATAAAATGATGCAGAAACCATATGAAACAAACAATTGGAAGAGGAGTATAATTACTGCCAAAACAAATATCTTTCATGGGGTCCACCAATGACACTACTCTAAGGTATTGGGGGGAGCCAGGTTTTATTTATTTATATTTATTTAATTATCAAATTTAGACAAGTGATTCTGGGTGGTGTGCAGATTTAAGGGCTCATTTAAATAGGGCTAGTATGAGGGCCATATGATTTTCTTTGAGATTTACACTTCCATCATTCTACCTACTTTGTATTATTCTGTTAACAGCCTAGGAGAGAAAACACACACACACACACACACTGTTCTGGCTAGACATGATCAGATCATGAAATGTAAGAGTTTTTCTTTTCTTTTTCAATTTAGATGGTATAAACAAAAGTGGCCCTGGTGATAAAATGTAATAAATAAATATGAACTAGATCACTGGTGATTAATCTTTTTGGTGCTGAGTGCCCAAAGCCGTCACACACGCGAATGCACCTGCATGTGCCCCAATCCCCAAAATGCAATGGGAGCATCCCCCATGCACGCACCACGCCCCTGCGCATGCACATGCATTCCCTGTGCATGCGCCCTCCTGTGCATGTGCCCCATCCCCCATTTTGGTTTCCAGGTTGGTGCAGGAGGCTTTTCAGGTCTAAAACAGAGTCCGGGGGGCACTCATGATCTCCGCAGTTTCTCCCTAGTGCATCAAGGCTTTCTCCTCCATTTCTGCCACCCATGCCTTCACCAATCTCCATAGTTTTTCCCCAGTGCACCCAGGCTTTCTCCTCCATTT